TAGGCCGTACGTTACGCTCTAGGGGAGCCGCTTCTCTGTCCTCCGGTAGGCGTGGTTGAAATCGGGAGATGATTTATCCTTTGCGAAGCGGTAACTGCCGAGATCCTCGGCTAAACGACCGCGGTCCTTCGTGTATTAACCGTAATGCACTCTGCCGCTGCCATTGTGCGCACTGTATATAACTATACCTACCACCCTGCTGCCGGGCCTGCAACCCCCCATCTGCTGATCCTTCTTTCTCCCCGCGTGACCAGCCTCCTTCTCCTTTTCTGGATCACGACGGTGGGATCACTTTTCGACTTTCATTATCTTCGGGCTTTACACGTGCTACTTGCTCGCTGATTTCCTTTGTGATTGATTTAACATCCGTTATTCCATTAGAACAGATTTGATGACGGAAGATAAGGACAGAACGTTTCTGGGAAAAGAGTCTATAGGTTGTTTGTCTGTGGATTTTTGGCTAACTTAGGTATACTTCGAAGAATGTTTATTGGATATTTTGTTTTTAACACGTTGAATGTCATTGGGGTTACTGGTGATCCCCAACCAAATCGAATTACTATAGTTCACTTAGCTAAACGATGATTAGTTGAAAAGATTTTTATATTATAAATGATGCTACCTAGTGCGGTGACATTTAGGCAGAGCAACGTGCTATAATAATAATGCGATTCTATCAGATGATTTAATATTGTATTTTTTTCATTCTGTGTACATTACGAAATCGTGCGACATTCAACGTGTTGAAAGGCATGTGTTTCATAATTTAAATATTGTGTATTGGATATATTAATGAAATTTCTATATTTTGCTGTTAGGGTTGTTGTAACCGAGTTAGTGTCATTCATCTGGAATTTAGAGAAAATCGAGAGAGTTAAAAATACTTTGTGTAATAACGAATGTAAAAATTATTAACGGAAAGCGGTATGAAGGGCATGGTTAAATGTGCTGTTATTGCATGTTTTATAATTAGTTTTTATTGCGATCAATGATTTATTGTTCTGTTAGGCCATCATTATATTAAAATTACTGTTATGTAGTTAATAATAGGATGCAACGACGGAATCGCAGTGAACAAGGTATCTTTGTTATACCGAACTGATGTTTCGTGCACTTTATACCGGTGAACCCCGTTTCATCGGGTACCGTAATTCCTTTCCCCTGTCGTAACTCCCCAACCTCAAGTCACTGCACGATTCCGTTCAATCCACTTCCTTCTTTAATGCGCGTGAGATGCATGAACGTATTGACATTCGTGTAGTCGTAAATTTTGATCGATTAGGCGTCCTATAAGTGTATACCTCGTTTGCTTTTGGCAAAGAGTGCTTCGAAGCTACCAAATCGATTACGTTTCAAATTCTACGCCCAATTTATCATTCAATTTACTGTAGTCCTCTTTTGTTAACACATTTCCTTAATGCTTTCCATTCTCTCGCTATCGCTATTGCAATAATTTACTTTAATCCTGTATACACATTACAAATAACGTTCAATTTTCAAATCACTGAAAATCACCATTGACACAACCGCTCACAATAAATGGGGAAATTATATTAATAAATAGTATCACGATCGTTCCTTTTTTTCGACACAATACAAAAGATATTTAATCTCCGCCCTGAAATGAATGATAAATAAAACAAATTCAAATATACACGACAACAGACGAAATAAATAGAAACGAATTCACAAACGGTAAATATATTCAATTAAACGAATTATATCGCCCCCATAGGACATCACTGTCGACTCCCTAATCAGCCGCTATTCATCCAGAATTTTTCCCGATCACTCCGGTAATCGATTCCCGGCATGTTTTGACAATTCCGTCGGGAGAGATTTTTCAAGGGGGTGGCGGTGTCGCCTTTGTGCGTCGGCCCGTCCCACAGTGTAACGAATGATCCGTTTAGCTAGACAAAATTCTAAATGCACGATTTTTCTACATTTATCAATTCAGATGTTAGCGGTTGAATAAAATATGAATAACTATTAAGTTTTGATAACAGTTACTTCCTTTTTATTAATTAAACAGTACATTCTCTGTTATGTATAATTAAATATAACATACTGGTTTGTTTTAGATCTGCCTGTCCGCGGACTATGCTTAAGCTTATTTATGAATGCGCGAATGTTTTAGAGCGAGTCCTGTGAAACTGACTTCTCGAATGAAGTTGCACTTCTTTTGATGAACCATTTGTCTGTTGCTGTTAAAAGTTCAGTAGACTTCGAAAATATGAACAGAATTCGAATATTTAATTCTCTAATTTCGTAGTATTCAAACACATTTTAAAGTAATATATCGAACAGACATCCGAAATATCATCGACAATAAAACGCACGAATGTTTCCAAACTAGGATATACTAAAACATACTCCCTTAAACGTTTTTTAAACACAATATCGAGCAACGAACTTTGAAACTTAGAAAGTTTACAGTGACAGGTTTCGAATAAGCTCCGTGCAACTGTCAGAAGCAACCCTCCAGATTCTACAGTGTAGAACGAAGCGTCGAGAGATATATCGTTTCAAGATATATCGTCTTTGCTTTGTCAAAACATGTTAAACATTTCTAGTGAGAAACTTCCAAGTGCAAAAGGTTAATACTGAATTGATCCGATTCGCCTCGGTCTGTTCTATAATTATTGTAGACTATACTGGAACTGTTAGTTTTTGTTTATTCGAAAGTGAATCTCGTCCAGTTAAAATGGTCATTCGTTACATTGTACGTCCCCCGTACGGCATCGGTGTCTCTCGAGGGATCGCGTTCGTGTTGGAAATTGCAGCCTGTGCACGGCAGCCGCACGTATTTTCGCAGGCTGCGGCGCGTGCTGGCCCGTCTTTCAACGGGACCCAACAGAGGCCCCGTGCACTCTCGCCTCCCTCGAACGCCTCGTAGGCGTGACTCCATATGCCACTTTTGGCCGGGCGACGTAACCGCTCGTAGATATGCATTGGCGCATTCTGCAGCTAGCTAATTTGCCCCGGGCCCCCTGAACCGACTGAATAGACTGAAAACGACGGGCGCGAGATTCTTTGATGTGTACGCCTCAGAAAGAATTCCTTGGAACTACCCGCAGATGTAGCTTCACGTAAATCTCTTTGAACTAGGTGAACCTGTTGTTCATTGAATTATTGATTGTTTGGCACTTCGCTGTGTGATATTGAGCTGGCAGTTGAGACAAGAGGAATTTTTATGGCAGATTTGTATTCGCAAGGAAAGATTAATTAGAGGGTAAGGGGTTGCAACGAGTAAGGAAGTATAGCTGAGGTGTTAATATTATGTGATAAATTTGGAAACAAGTTACTTACCTTGGTAATCAGTGCACTCTAGAAGTGAATAAAAAGCTTTCCTTTGGAATCTACGAATATTGCAATGGACATTTGGGATTTATGCCCAAAATAAACGTCATATTTAAATGAATGTAGTAGATTACACATTAACACTAGAACTACCGAGCATTTAATACGATTGATATATACTGGCTATAAATCTGTAGCAACAGATCATTTCCAGTTTCTTCATTATAGCATTCAGGTGAAACAATTTATCTTCAAACTCATTTCGAATGTTCAGTGCTTCCGAGATATCAATAATTGAAACCAGGAAAATCGAAACCAGTCGTTTTGATTGGCACAGTAGTTCTAGCGTTAATATTACCTTTGGTGTAACCTTTCGGTGTCATTGATAAGTGTTACTAACAAAAATGACCGTAAGACATCTACCGTTACCCACGTAAACGCGAATAATAGGAAAGGAATATTCTTGTATTTGACCCTCGCTCCCCGATTTATTGCGAGTTTTTTCCCTGCTTAATATCGATGTGACGCCGAAAAAAAATAAAGGAAGACCGGTAGCGTACACCGAGGAACGAACGATATTTCATAAGATATTCGCACAATTTATTGCCTTCTCCATATACACAAGTGTGCAAGACCCATCGCTCGCCTTCCGCTCCGTCGCTGTGTATCGCGGCCGTGATGCAGCTGCGGTAATCGCACGGCCAATCGATAGGCCATCGCCGTAACACAGTGCTCCTCCACGGAGCGCGGAGCCTCGTTTAATGTAAATTATCTACAAGTTAGACCTACGCTCGTACATCGGATATAATTTACGACGGTACGCTGTGGGAACGCTATTTACAACGCTCTAACATTATTTATTTACATGAACCGCGGTTCATCCCTTGGTACCTCAGAAGCGCGACTTCAACGCGCAGTGGGAGTGCAATCGAAGCGGGACGAAGAATAGAAGATTTGAGTACTTCGGTATATCTACCTGGGAAATATCCATTTTGCATGAATAATACAGATCCTGTGCATTTACGGAGCACGCTGGACTTTTAATAAATAAATATTATAATTCTGAGCAAAATTCTTGGAGATTTTGTTAACGAATAGACCCGATACCTTAGGCAGCACTGATTCCACTGACTTGAAGTTAAAGATACTCCTTTAAAAAAGACAAATCGCTGACCAATGTGTATTATCCCAATATTCTCGCTAATAAATTAATATACATGTTCCGATAAACATAAACTTTATAGCACCTTAATCTTCCGCACTTAATCCTCCCTCTTCCCTCACTCACGCAAGAGTAAAGCAATCCAATATGAAATATTCACCCACTCTATACACATAATCGTCCTCCATCCCGTTTCCCTTAGAGGTTCACTTACGCTGGACAATCGATAGTCTATCATTTTGGTATGACAACAACAATTTACTGCCAATCGCATACGCAAGGCTTCAATTCTTGCCGATCAAAGCCGAGTAACACATTACCTAAACGGCTATCATTGTCATGCGCACTAAAATCCACAGTGTCATCTCTATACACACTTAGACTGTCCAGCAGTTACAGCTTTAGAGGATCCTTCACTGATAATCGTTACCTCGAAGTCCACGAACACTCAGTCCTGTGTGCTAACCACTGAACCCACAACCTACTTCAGTCCTTCCTCCAAGTCCCATTAAGTCCACAGTTCATCTGGCAGTGTTCACTACCTCCCGGAAGAGCTGAGCCCCCCTCGATGAGGTGGCACAGTGAATGCTCTCAAACCAACAGCGACTCCAATTCCAACACCGCTACTCATCGGCGGTTGCACCTGTCCAGTTAAGTTGATGGACGAATTAACCAGTCCAAGAGCATCGCCTAGAACCGACGAAGACGTAGTGGATGCTGGACTGTCGCTGGTGGGCCTGACTCTGGGTGGCCTGGCACACTTCTCCAAATGATGATGGTGCGACCTCACTGCTAAACGACTCACGTGCACTGGAATAGGCACCACGATTCTGGTACCGTTCCCTGAATGCTGCCCCGACGCTCCGTTGTGCCTGCTGGCAGCTCCAGCGGCCGCCATGCTGGTCGCGCCGGTGCCAACTCCTCCACCGCTCAGACCTGCCTTCACTCTTTTCCACTTGGCTCGCCGATTCTGGAACCAGATCTTCACTTGGACCTCCGAAAGCTTCAAGGCGTGGGCGATGTGGGATCTCTCAGTGAGACTGAGATATTTTTTCGCGTGGAACTCTCGTTCTAATTCTAGCAGCTGCTCGGACGTGAAAGCTGTGCGTCTGCGCCTCGCTTTGTTGTTGCTGGACCCGGTTGTTGAACTATTCTGACCGTTCTCCAGGGACCCGCCAGGACTCACGTTGCTGGACGCGTTGCTGGATATCGCGTCCCCTGCGTCGTGACTGTCCGCGACGCTTAGTCCTCCGCCTTCGTCGTCGCTTTCCGCTGATGCTCGACCGTTCTCCGATCCTGTGTAAATAAGTAATGTAAAATTAAGTAATTAGCTTATGTTAAATGGTCGGTGAATCATTCTTATGGAGAGAAGATATTGACACTGTCTGATATTCGTCGTTCGAGGGAGGTATTAGATGACAACGGTGGTATCGACAAATGTAATAAATAACTGTTGTAATTAACTAAGTAGATTGGACCAAGTTTCAGTTTGTGAATGTCAATTGAACAACAGTCATTCTGATTGGTGTTCAGCTAGTAAACAGACGGGTCGGAACAGTAAAATTTATTTTATTTCGATGCGAAGTGATACAAGTTACACAATTTAGAATACTTGGAACTGGTTTCTAAATGTTTAAACGATCTATAGTTTCCGTGGTAGCCCACGTTCCACAAACCAAGGATCGAAACATCGTAAATACGATTACTGTTCAACGATTCCGTTTCAACTGTCCATAGTTCTTGATTTAAAAAAAAACCGAATGGTTTCTGCCCATCTGCGGCTCATGAATACGTTAAGTGACGCGCCATTAAGTCATTGAACAGTCCCATTGCAGCTCTATAGAGACCGATTAACATCGGTATAGTTAGAGAAGAAGATTTAATATGCGGGATACGCGGGCGGTTTCGTCATAAGATGTATAGTCCATGATCGATTTTTCCCGTGTGGTTTTATAATTTTACACGTGAACGGACGCTGTACGCTCGCGGTTTAGTACGTTCTTCGATGCAGTACATTACCGTACAGTTTTAACCACTCTCTGTCCGTTCGTTTATGAAATATTGAGGGAACTGTGTTTCATGAATCAATAAAGATGAATTGGAAACTTATTCGACTGGAACTGACGAATCTGCAAGTCGCCGCGTTCTTTGCGCTGTCGTCGGAACTATTTTTATGAAACTATCGACTGAACTGCCTGAACACAGGAAAGAGGAAATAACAATGAATCGATCAGTAAATATTCAGATATGTTCGTTCGTTTAATGACCGAGGAGAAATATCATCCTCGGCAGAATATGTTCGATGAAAGCTGACAATGTAACCGCGAAAAAAGTATTTGATAAAATATAGTGTATTAAAAAATGACTATTGTCATTTTGTTTCGTTTGCTAATAATAAAGATATTCCTTCCGTTCGGTACGTGAATCATTATACCAAATGTTTTACTTAAAAAGTCCAGGGATTTTTTTAAGAATATTAAAAGATGGTTTCAGAATACCAAGGGGCCATTATGGACGAAATCTCATTACATGAATATTATAATATAATTCTTCGTAGTAGCATTATAATATATTCAAGAGACTCGATTCAATTTTATAGAAAATAAATCGATAAGTTAAACTTATAATTCAAATCTGCAGGTAAATGTAGAAAAGAAATTGTTAAATTTGATAGTAATGTATTCAGATGAGTGTCACTCTTCATTAATCACTAAATGTTATATTGAATTTAAATCGTATATTCAGAATTGAAATTTCATTTAATTACGATCTCTAAGGCAGACGCCATTAAAAATCTCCTACCTCTCATAATATCCAGTCGGAGACATGGTGATAATTTTAAACCGAATTCACTAAATGCAAATATACTTCAGACCAACGGGAGGAAAACAGAATCTTGCTCTTGCAAATATTAAATTTCTGCATCAGACGTATTGTAGTGAATAGGTAATGTACTTTCTAATTAACTGATAATTAACAAGACAGTAATTCAAGTGAATCGTAGTATAAAAATAAATTACAGAGAATTAATGAAAGGAATGTTCCGAAGTGCCTCCGGAAGCCGAATTTTAAATCACCATAAATTTGAGATTTTAACACAATTTCGCACGTACCGCGGAAGTATGTAATTAATAACTGTCTTTAGAAATAATTTCACGGTGATAGGAAGTTGCATGGACATCGCCGGGCAATTACAACAGCGAACTGGAGCACGATGAAACGTTTTTCCCACAGGTGCGCCAGCTGCGACTTCGCGTGTTTATAACTTCCTTCTTTTATTCATTTTCGTGTTTACGAGTGTTCCTAGTCTCTGATCAACCAGCACGTGAGGTTCCTAGAAGAAGAGGCCGCTACGTAAGAGTTTGATGCACCCGTGTCTTTATTAATTCAAAGAGTTTCGATTGAATGGGCCACACACGCTTCCGCGAGCGAGACTAGCTGCGGTATCCGCGAGTCTCACGGACAAACGTTCGGGCGTTGTCCTCGCCGCGGCGTCTTTACACTTGCCACAGGAACCGTGTTGATCGATCCACTGGAACACCGCTATTACATCTCTATCTTCATCGTTTTCTTTGTCATTAAACACGCGATCGAGCCGGTTGCTCGATGAACGTAACTTGAGCTGTATAGATACCTTCGATGTAATGCCAGATTCAATGGGAAATTGATTTCCGTAAGGTCGTAACGACAAATTGCGAGCTCCTTGTAGCTAGAAATCTACTCGAGCGAGCAGATTGCGATCTAATAAACATCTTAATGGACATTTCATTTTAAACGTGTTTGTTTTAACAAAACTTTACCAAGAATGTCTATTCGCTTTTCAATATTGTGAAGAAAGGAAAAAGACTTTTCCGTGACTCGCACTTGTATAAAGTAATTCTTAAACGAAAGGATATTAATTTTTGCATAACAGAAAAATTTCCTTGTACTTATGTTAACTGATTTCCAGAATGATTATTTCGTTAGACCTCAAAGAAACAACTAGAAGACCAATGAACAGCATTTCTGCAGATTTATATTCTCTTTTATATAGTTTAATGATATTTCTGTATTTTAATTGCATAAAATACCGAATCTCCAATGCAAGTAACTACCAGAATGGTAAATTATGTTATCACCAAGTTTACTGTTAGTTCAACCGAACAACTACGACCGTCTATAACACCTTAACTGGCAGGCATTACCTAACAAGCGTAAATAACCCTTTAAAAATACGTGATTTTCAAACTATACAAGCTTGGTGACAACTATGAATTTTCATAGTTTCGAAGTGTGTACTGTCATGAATCGAGAGCACAGTGGAACGATAAAACTTTTTATGCGATAAATATTCAACGACGCGAACGTTGTTAAGATTCGTGTTGCCATTATGGTTATTAGAGGAATATGCCGTGCAATGTATCACCGATACTTTTCCCAAGACCTCTGCCGAGCGAAAGATTGGACGACCGCCAAATTGGAGTTCGATCCGGTTTCTGCACCCGTCGGAATGGCGCGCTGCATCGAGACCCTATAAGTCTCTCCGATATATTCCTGTCCAACGAATGTCTCGGAAAATGAAAACAGATGTATTCGGCGTTCGTGTCTTTTTAGAATGATTTTTGGATGTTTTACGGCTATCAGCAGAGTATCATTATTTCTGTAGTAACACTTTCGAGGACGATATTCTAGTAGCTTTTTTAATTCATCGATTATAATTATTAGACACAAGGAAATTTAGGGTTCTTCTGTGATCATTACTTAAAAATAAAATGTTTGTTAATCCTTACTAACTCGAAATTAGTGATCCTTTGTTCATCGACGTTTATACGAGTACAATTGTGAGTAAAAATGAAGTAGGTATATTTTATAATATACATTCATATGATTTAATTTGTATTATTGGAGAAATTATGACAGTATTAAATTGAATGATTGTTTAGCAGAAATATAAGTTATTTTATCTTCCTCGGTTAATAGGATAATAATGATGTAGAATAATAATAATATAGTAATTATAGTTTCTGGATAATATGATATAAGAAAATGATTTAGGAATTTTTATTTCTTTTTATACAGAAAGCATTCGTTGAACTTTCCGAATCGCCAGTCTGATCCTCGTATTTCTAATTGCAGCGTGCTGACAGGAAATCTGTGTCATGTTCTGTCGATCGCTCAATTATAAATACATAAATAATTCGTGGGTGAAAACGTATATAGGTTACATCGACGCGGTTCAATTCAATGAAACGTATTTATTATGTCGGGGACAAATTCTATCTGTCAGATAAAGTCGGTCTGCGATGAAATTTGCACGGTGCCGGAATAACGAGCGAGAAATCGATTCATGTCGGCGAAAGAAGTTTCGTCGTGACATATTTAAACACCATTTCATTGCAATTAACTCATTTTTCGTTGCCGATACCCTGACGTGTTAACTATGAAACATATTTTCTTGCAACCACTGAAGCACCTTTCTTAGAGACTTAAAAAAAGACCATCAGTTAGATGATATAAATATTTTATTGGAGGGATAATCTTTTATAATCAGTATTTTAGCAGAAATTATCCACGATAATATTGGTTATACAATTTATATAACGAATTATGGGAAAGTACTACAATTTCGGTTTGCATAATTTTTCTTTGAACTACATGTACAGAAGTTTATTTATTTATTAAAAGATCACGAAAATTGGCTTGAAGAACAGTGATCGACATTAGACAAGTTCATTAATCAACAAAAGAAGAATGTCTCGTTGGTCTATTGGAAATAAAAGAACCCTATATTTCGTCGGTCTATTAACAATATTGATTAATTTAGGGGTCCAAGACTGATCGGACTGCTACGAGGGGATATTCTCTTTTTTTTTTGGCTAGATTTTGGGTTCCTCTTGGGAAGAGCAACGTAAAGCGATCCTCCCTTGTCATGTCGGTCGCCACGGGGTTCACGACGGGGCAATGAATACGAAAAAATCGGGAAACGGTGAATTCTGCAGGAAAAGCAGATATGCTGTGAAACCGAAATGGTCTTTTCGTTCGTGATAAGAAAGTGTTTGATACCTTGAATGAACTAACTTCAACGCAGGTATTCATTAATGACTGAGTAATTAATAATTAAGCTTGTTTAAACCGAACACTCATAAATACAGATATTACATCCGATCCTGCAATCCAATTGAAATTATCGACATATATTCTATAACTATTAATACACTGGCATTTGAATTATTCAAATATATTTTTAAAGTTCTGGACAATTGAAATATATTCTGTGTTAATTACATTTAACTATTAGCTACATTAATCTCTTTAAA